AGATGCATGCCTATTTCTGCACTCGTCCTATGCTAAAGCCTAAAGACTTGGACTTTGACGTTGAGAGAATTGATCATATTTTCAAACTCGAATCCCGTGAATTGCGTGTCGAGACTAGAAGCTTGGCTGGAAACATTTTCTTCCAGCTTTGCCCGGTTTGACATGAAGAATATTACCATCAAGTAAATGCAATGGGCATTCATCTAATTCCGAGTGAATGGATTGATATATCATTTAATTACGAGGGTAGTGCCGCCATAAAGTATTTATTTACGTGAAATTACTTGTTTGGTAAATTATTTTTTTTTATTTAAAAATATTGAATTAACTTTTTAATTATGTTTTTATGAATAATTTTGTTCTATTAATATAAACAAATATAAATTATCTGAAATTATATTTCTCAAGTGCTCCAATTACCTCAATGATCACTCTTGTAGGTTGTTCAATACAAATATTAGTGAAGATTATAAATGAATAAAAAAATATATTTATCTTATATTGAAAAGAATTACACTTTCTTCTAATGTTTCTAAGTATAGGTTTTTATTGTGTAGTAAATTAAATCATACTAGATAAAGTTTTCCATTTGACTTTCTAATGTTATTATATAAATATTTAAAATATCAAAATATAGCATTTAAAACTTTTAATTTAATATGAACAGTTATACTGTTTCATGAGTAGTATAAGTTATACTGTTTCATGAGTAGTTATACTGTTTCATGAATAACTATAGTGTTTTATCGATAATCATATTATTTTATCAATAATCATATTGTTTGATAAACAATTATACTGTTTTATCATGACATTTCAAGCCTATAAAAGTATATTATTATAAAGAAAAGAAATACAATAAAATATATATATATTCTTTTATTGGTCTTACCTTTTTATTTTTTTAAAGGTTTAAAAGATTTAATTATATTTTATAAATATTATCTTTATTTAAAATAAATAAATATTTTATAAATAGTATTTTCATGTATTTAAACCAACTTTATATTTATTTTCATCGTAAACTTTTCTAACAAGAAGTTGCTCATGAAAAAATCCAAACACTGCTTAAAAGACCAATATTGCTGAATTGGCTGGGCTAGGCATTATGGGAAACATAAGATGGACCAGTACCTCTGAAAGTTACAATACTATTATTGTTCAGCACGTGAAAAGTTTGAGAGACAGACAGCAAAAACCATGTAGGGAAGTTGGTTGGATTAGTTTTTTTTTTTAAAAAAAAATTTATTTGTAAACGTATGAAAATTTCAATAGTAATACATTAAACAAACAAACAGTCTCGGAAAGCAGGACAGCAGAAAATAAGGAAACATCGATCTACCTCGGAATATTTACAGTGTTAGTGTCTTCGGTCCTGTGAACTCATCAAACACAGTGCACAAAACGTTGAGACTGTTAAGCCAAGCTATACGTACATACAAAACAACGTGCATAGAGCAAGAAAGTTATGGATACGTTAGATAGAGGGAGCTATGGTTTTATTAGGGAGCTAGCGATAAAATTATTGCCATGGACGAAGTGATTAGATGTTCCCCATTGACAAGGAGAAGACAAAAGGCTTCATCACTTTGACAGCTGCTGCCTGAGCAGGAGACCACCCATTTAACATGGTATTGATCAAACTTACGAGGGATATAATTTTGATGCAGTGGTGGGCTTCGTGTGATTTCTATCAATAACAGTTGCCGACATTTATGTTTACGACACAAGCTCGTGTCTGCCCATTCCTCCGTACCTCCTGGATTTGTGTACTTAGACAGATTGGCGAGACATGGCTATACTTCTCTCGTCACGAACAAGCACACCCAAAGCATAGATATAAACCTAGTTTGATACGAGATTTTTTTTGATGGCCTGGTAATGATTATTTTTAAATAATTTTTTATATTAAAATAAATATTCATAATATTTTTTATTTTAAAAAAAATTATTTTTAATATTAATATATTAAATCAATCCAAAAGATATAAAAATATATTAATTTTTAATAAAAAATATTTGAATTTTTTTAAAAACATAATTTATACTGCTTTTCCAAAAAATACTGTAATAATGTAACTTAACTCATTACATTTCAAGTTTATTGTTTCAAGAGATTATCAGTTTAAATGTTGTGAACATTATATTTTTTAAAAGTTTATGTAATTATTGTCTATAAATTCATTTAGATACCTATATTTAATAAAAAAAAACCTAGTTTGATATATGTTTTATCCTAAATTTTTTTAGGTTATTTTAAATGAAATGATTTTTTTTGTAATTTCTAAAATAATGTTATTTTAATAAAAAATATAAATTAACCCAACCAATCACATGAATCATAAATAAATGTTTATAACTATGTATCGAAGTCTTGATTTACAATATGCCAACGGTTATGATGGTTTCAGGACTTGATGAGGCACTAGCAAATCTTACATTAAATATATTCTTTGGAAAAAAAGAAGATACATACCTGCTCAGCTAGTAAGTGAGTCGAGATTTACCGACTCAGTTGGTCACCTAGAGTCCTTCCATACTCACCCTTTTATTTTGTTTGATACACACACAGACAGAATATTATAAAATCACGTTGTTAAAATATGTTAAATACTACACTTCACACATCCTGCTTGCTTGTCCCATTTCTTTTTTATGAACATTCCATATTTTATTTTGAATTATTCGATTAATCACTACCTTATTTCAAAATATATAGAATTGAAATTGATCATGCATTCTTAGATATATATATATATATATATATATATATAACATCTCTTCGTTTCTGCATTATAAATTTTTTTTAAAAAAATTTGATTTTTTTATTTTTTAATTTACTTCAAATTAATATATTTTTAGTGTTTTTAAATTATTTTGATGTATTGATGTTAAAAATAATTTTTTAAAAAATAAAAAAATTATTTTTATGTATTTTAATATAAAAAATTATTTAAAAAACAATCATAATTATATTTTAAAATAAAATAAAATAAATTTTATTAAAATGATATGGTTTTTTTCTAAAATAACATTTTTTTCCTATATATTGGCTTCGCCTTTTCAATATTTTTAAAATTTAACCTGTGCCAGGCTCCTGACGTTAAATTTCTTGAATCGATGAATTAGACGAGACAAGACAAGATGGATCTAACATCTATAAATATTAAATATGAATATTTTCAAGGCCATGAATAATAAACAAAACAATAAGTTATATTTTAATAAATAGACGGATGTTATTCAAAGGCTAGCAAGGAAAATAGAAAGGAGGTACTGCATTATTTCACCTGGGAAATAGCAAAGAAAAGAAAATTGATATTTTAATAAATAAACGATGCGAGATCTCAGCTTTTTCAAGACCATGAATAATAAAAAAAACAATAAGTGATTTTTTTAATACTTTTTTTTCTCATGAAACATCATATCATGAGGTAATTAATAGTGATTTTTGTCTTCAAAAAGGACAAGTGTCACCTTTAGATTCCAATCAGGGCATGAACTGATCTATGGACCTAGGGTTCGTGTTTGACCTTGTCTGAAGGAACGGAAGCTAGCAGGCTGCGCTACTTATAGACCACCGGACGCGGAGTTCGATGGTTTAATGTTGCCCATTAAGACACGCCTAATCTTTTCCAATTATTATTATTATAAACCTATTTTCAGACATGCCCCTTTCTTTCTTCGACCTTCCACATTTCTCCCCCCCCCCCCCCCCCTTTTTCCTCTCCATGCCCCTTTTTCCACCTTCCCCCATTCCCCCCCCCCCCCGTACTTGATTTTTTCCTCTCCATGCCCCTCTTCCTCCATGGTTATTTTCACTTAAGAGTTGCTACACATGATCTAGGATTCAATCCGAAAAGGATTTGGATTATCGGACTAACATGAGGATTACTGGGTTATTTTTTTTGTTAAAATAATTTTAATGTTGACTTGATTAAATTTGATTGGGTTAATATATTAACTTAATTAAATTAAATATAATTGAATTTGATTAAATCACTAGTTTTTTTAGTTTAATTTTAAATATGGTTCGAATCAAGTTTTAGATGGTTATTTCTTATATTAACCTAGTAAGAGATAAATTAGGATACTTTTTGTTTTTATATTTTAAAAGTATTTTTTTAAATAATTTTATTTTTTTTATTTTAAATAATTTTTTTTATTTTTATAATATTTTAACATGCTGATGTGAATAATATTTTTTTTAAATATAAAAAATTATTTTAATATATTTTAAAATAAAATATAGTTAAAAAAACAAACAAAAATTTACAACTGTTTAAAGCAAACAAAAAATTATAACTGTGATTAACCTTGAAAAAGAAATCACAAACAAACAAACAAATAAATAAATAAATTCCGCTTTTTTCTTTTTGGGAACATGCTGTCACTTTGTGAAGTTTTAATCGAAGTAGAAGTATCCATGACTAATCTTAGTTTGTAAAGTTGCTAAATTTCATTTAGCAGGGTATTTTAATAATTTTATTTGTTTACAATTAATATCTTAACCATTAGTTATTATACTCGGATTAAACTTAGCTGGATCTAATAAATTAATTTAAAAAATATAATTCTTTCATCCAGTTTAAAATTTTAATTAAATTAAAAAATATTAACTAAATAAAACTTAATTGACCCATTAAAACCAACAAAGTCATCTCTATTGAATTTTTATTAAAAAAATAATAGACAAAGCAAATGTCTTTAAAGAAACAAAAAAGTAGTCACAGGTTGATTAAATTAAACCAAACATTTTCCCAAGGCAATCATAAAAAATATATAAGTTACAACAAGTAAATGTGGGGCACTTGAAAGATGATTAAAAAAACAAATCAAATTCAAAAAACAGCATGGTGTAACACTGAAGAAATTGGATAGAAATACGAGGATAGAATTGTAGAATCATTACATTGAAAATGTGAGATAAAAGATGATAATTATGAAACTAATACTATAAATGGAATTAACGACACCACCACCACCATTCCTCTCTCACCTCCAATTGTTTGGTATGTTAGCTCTTTTAGGAGACAAACCCGGCATCATAGAAACCTGTTCTTGTTGAATCTTTACCCAAACAAAGGAAAGAAAAAAAGGAGAAGGAAAAATCCCAAAAAGAAAGAAAGTGGAAGGAACAAATTAAATGCAAGCATTGATCACCAACTTCTCCTTTTGCTCTCCTCTTCAATCCAACAGCAAAACTCTGAACATTGTTCTTTTCAAAAAACTAGAAACAGCCCATTTCATCGAACCATTACAGCAAATAGGACACACAACACAAACAATCTCAAGAAAAAAACAAAACAAAACAGATACAGCTTGTTGTATCTGTCTTTGTCCTGATGGTACCCTTCCAAGTCTCCCCTTTTCTTGGTTTGCTGCAAAAATGCAGCTGTTGTTCTTGAAAACTAGTACGAAACAACAACAATGAGAGATGGAGAAGGGAGGAGAGAGAACAAAGAATGAGTCTTTGTAGGTAGGTAGAAAGAGAGAAATGAGCATAGAGAACATTGGCATAATAAAGGCATGGGAAGCAAAACTTAGGAAATCACAAGCAACAAAGAAGAAGAAAAACAACAGTGTCTTTCTCACCATGATGTCAGCAGCAGTAGCTCATGTAGATGATGATGATCCTCCTTGTAAAGAACCTGTGTACCATGCAGAAAAGGCCCTTTGTAATGGTGATTTCTACACAGGCCTATGGCTTGACAACCTCCCTCATGGACATGGAAAATATCTTTGGACAGATGGTTGCATGTATCTTGGTGAATGGTATAAAGGTAAGACAATGGGAAAGGGTAAATTTGGTTGGTTTTCTGGTGCTACTTACGAGGGTGATTTCAAGGGGGGTTATATGGATGGTAGAGGGACCTTTACAGGATCTTCAGGTGATGCTTATAGAGGTTATTGGGTTATGAATTTGAGACATGGACAAGGTACACAGAGTTATGCTAATGGTGATTGTTATGATGGTGATTGGAGAAGAGGTTCACAAGATGGACATGGAAGGTACCAATGGAATACTTCGAATCGTTATATTGGTCAATGGAAGAGTGGTTTGATGAATGGTAATGGAACTATGATTTGGAGCAATGGGAATAGGTATGATGGGTTTTGGCAGGATGGACTGCCTAAAGGAAATGGGAGTTTCAGATGGTCAGATGAAAGTTTTTATGTGGGTTTTTGGAGTAAAGATCCTAATGAGCAAAATGGAACTTATTATCCATCTGGGTCTGCGTCAGGGAATTTGGATTGGGATCCCCAGGAGGTGTATTTGGATTTGAACGATTGCAAGATTTCTACTTGTGAAACGATGTCAATTTTTCCATCACTGAAGATGTTGAATTGGCCTGGGGTTCTTGATCAAGGGAATGCTAATCCAATGAAAGGAAATGGTGGTGAAGGAAGGCTCAGGAGGATATCAGTGGATGGGAGGCTGAGTAACTACAGCGTGGCTTCTTTTGATGGCTGTGATGTTTATAGTGGTGGGGTTGATGGGAATTTGAGGGATGTAGACGAAGGGTTTGGAAATCTCCAAGTTGAAGAATTGGATCCAAAAATATCTAAATGGAGAACACAGCCTGTGAAGAAGCAAGGGGAAACAATATCAAAAGGGCATAAGAATTATGAACTCATGCTCAATCTGCAGTTGGGAATAAGGTACTTGGGATTTGGTAAATGCTTCTTTGTTTCCTCTTTTCCATCTTATTTCTCTGCTCTATCAAGCATTGGCTGTAACAATTTGGTATGATGCTTTTTCAGAGTCCAAACGCGTTCTTCTATGTATGCTAAAACTAACGCTTTTCTTCCGTTGGTAATGTATTCAATATCAAATTTTGCTTGGCATATAGTTTAGCGCTTCACAAATTTTGTATTCTTGATAGCTGATCTGTACAAGCAAATTGTTCTGTTGCCAAGTGTTCATAAACGCTCTTTTCCTGCTCTATTCTGCCTCTCAACGTGTGTTTGTGTGATGGCATTTGTTATGTTTTACATAATCTTGGTTTTCAGATATGCTCCCAACTCCCAGTTGGTGGCAATCAATAGATCATCCGCTATCCTGATAAAACATTTGTGATTGGGCAGACATTCGGTGGGACGGCCTGCTCCAGCTATATCTCTTGATCTTAAGTCTTCGGCATTTGATCCCAAAGAAAAAGTTTGGACTAAATTTCCATCAGAGGGATCCAAGCACACCCCACCTCACCAGTCTTCCGAGTTTAAATGGAAGGATTATTGCCCTGTAGTTTTCAGGTCATGTTCTTTTTACACAAGCGCCATGCCAAACATACCTTTTAGCTAGGGTTAATTAGACCTGAAAAATGATTTCAATTTAATCCTGCATGTATATATTTCTGATTCATGAACATTTCATTGGAGAGCTGACAGCCCTAGCCTGGCACGCTTATCTCTTAGCATCATCATTCTCTCTGCAGCTGGTATAAATAAGGGCTGACAGTTCCTAATGATCCTATTTCCAGGACTCTAAGGAAATTGTTCAATGTGGATGCAGCTGATTACATGTTATCGATATGTGGGAATGATGCGCTTAGGGAACTCTCATCCCCGGGAAAAAGTGGAAGCTTTTTTTACCTGACAAATGATGATCGCTACATGATAAAGACAATAAAGAAGGCAGAAGTAAAAGTTAGTTTCATCATTCTTCACTTTGTTTTCCTTTTGAACCTGAGATATATAAACTTTAATTTCCACTTCCATGATTTAAGTTCTACGACAATTTGCGTTCTTTGCAACAACTTTATGGTGTATCATGAATTTGTCGTTCATGATTGGGCACTGTTTTGTTTTTGTGGTGTAAAAGTGTTTTTGAAAAAAATTAAATGTTATTTTGCTTCAAATTATTATTCTAGTGTTTTTATAGGTCGTTTTAAAGTGTTTAAATTAAAATTAATTTTAAAAAATTAAAAAAAAATTATTTTAATACATTTACAAACAAAAAAAACTTTGAAAAATAACTCTTATCACAATACTAAATGTGATAATACTAAATAGGCTCTAAGTAGTTCACCATTGTATCACATTTAGTCTACAATTTCAGAATGAATCTTGCATTTTCCAAGTTATTCTGCGTGATTCTGTAACGCAAGGATTCTTATGCTTTGCCTTCTCTGGCTAATGTACTTGCAGGTCCTCTTGAGGATGCTGCCAGCCTACTATAATCATGTTCGGTCTTTTGAGAACACTCTAGTAACCAAATTTTATGGTCTTCATTGCGTAAAATTAACAGGGCCGAATCAGAAGAAGGTAACGTGAAGGGCATAAAACTCTAATTTTTGGTAGAAACATTTATCCAACTCCTGAATCTTTGATGAAATCAATTTTCATTTGGGGCAGGTCCGATTTGTCATTATGGGGAATCTGTTTTGTTCTGATTTTTCTATTCATCGGCGCTTTGACTTGAAAGGTTCGTCCCATGGTCGCATGACTTCTAAACCTGAGTCAGAAATTGATCCAACAACAACCCTCAAGGACCTTGATCTCAATTACATATTTCGGTTGCAGAAATCTTGGTTCCAAGAGTTTTGCAGGTGAAATGATGTCTCTTTTCTTAGTTCACATTCTGTTTTTATCCTATAATTTTCTGATCACAATAGCTTTGTGTGAACCATTCTACTTTTTTTTTTATTGTTTATATCAGTATCCTGAAGTGTCCCTCCCTGCAGGCAAGTGGACAGAGATTGTGACTTCCTTGAACAGGAGAGAATAATGGACTACAGTCTTTTGGTTGGTCTACACTTTCGAGAAGCTTCATACAGGGAATCCCTCACACCCCCTCGTACTTCTGGAGTTTGGACTCCCACCGGAATTCGCACTCCTACTGGAGTTCAGACTCCCAATGGACTTCGGACTCCCACTGGAATTCGCACTCCTACTGGAGTTCAGACTCCCAATGGACTTCGAACTCCCACCGGACTTCACAGTCCTACAGGTATTTCTTGTCATATGCAAATTCACTGCTAATTCTTATTTTAGAATAAATGTTTGCCTAATGAATGAAACTGTATCTTCTCTGTATCTTTAGGAATGGGAGATGAAACTGAATCGGGAGCTCCACGCCTTTCCAGAGTAGATTTGGATAAGCTTTTCATCGATCCCACTCGGTAAAATAAATCTTAAGCATCGAGCTAAAGTTCTTTCTTTACTGTTAATGTCTTGCAGAGTCCCAACCGCCAAGTGATACCAGATTGTTTGATTAGTACACTTTCTTGGCGCTTAATGTTATCTTGAATCCAAGCACCATAATTTGGCTTATCTCATTCATTCTGAATGTTTTGTGCAGGTGGGCTTCCATTAAATTAGGTATAAACATGCCGGCAAGGGTCGAAAAGACAGCCAGGAGAAGAGATGGTGAAGCTCAGCTAATTGGAGAACCAACTGGGGTGTTATATGAAGTCGTCCTATTTTTCGGTATCATAGACATTCTACAAGACTATGATATAAGCAAAAAGCTCGAGCACGCATACAAGTCCATGCAGTATGATCCAACTTCAATCTCTGCCGTTGATCCAAAGCAATACTCAAAACGCTTTCGGGATTTCATCTTCAGAGTATTTACAGAAGACGCTTGAAGGGTATAAATTGATTAGAATCGTCATATCGCAACCCGTGGCCATATATGTGCTCGGCTAGAGATGAGAGTACTTAAATGTAGACTAAAGGTTACTGTTTCACCATATATTTGACCACAGGGAATGATTTGTTGCAGCTGGGAATAGGTTTTCAGAAATCGGGCATTGTATATTTCCCCTCACCATCATATCCACTAATTTAGTTACATATGATATATCATAGGAAAGGTACATACCAGAGCTACTCGAGCTTGTTTCAAGTGTAAATGAGTTAACCAGGTGGAGTACTTACATATATTGAAATTGATTCTTTTTGGACCTAATTTTTATCCCCGCAAGGCGAGAAGTTTCTGGGTTCAGAATCAAACTATGTACAGAAGAAAAGTGAAATGGAACAAACTTCAGAGTCTTTGAATCTTTAAATGAAATTCTTTGTAGATGAAGATGGATCATCATAAGATTTTTCTTTATACGATGAAAATTATAATCAATCTAGGCTATCCACTTTATGGATGAAAAATCAACAATTTATTTCCTAAAAACAATGTTTTCTATATGCCAGAATGTTTTGAAAGAGAAACTGGGAAGTTGAGGTAGAAAATGTGATCATACCATTCAAACAACAGTTCTGAGAATGGAAGGAATGAGGAAACGAAACTGCAGGAGCATAAGACTTGTCTTGAAATCAAAGAGCAGATACTCTAGATTAATCATTAACTCAATCTAAGCGCAAATTCGCCATCCAATCTGTTCACACATTGCTGTAAACAGTCGTTCGTGGACATACAGTTTCAGACTAATGATAGATATTCTGTCAGCACATGAACAGTCATTCTTAGATTATGTAGAATCACATCATAAAATGCAGCTAGATCATGCTCAATACATCGGAAATACATACAAAAGTACGCAATAGGTAAAAGCAGAAGAACAAGGAAACAAATTCCCGTGTAAGAAAGCATGGACATGGATTTTACTAAATGTTTTGATAAACGGGAACCACTTGCAATATATAATTTCTGGAAAAGACTCTTGAGTGCACTGGGAGACTCAAGATTGATAAATCTAGAGACTACAGCAGACCGAAATTCGCAAATCCTATGCGTCCTCACGTTTGCCTTCCTGATTTGTGTGACTCCCGACTACTGAAACTGCTTGATCCTTTCACTTGTGTGCGCGTGTGCGCGTTTGCCTAATTATTATCACACAATATAATTTAAGGCTGCAATTCTGTCGTTCTTTTCATTCTAAGGATAATTATCCATCTCTAGTTGCTATCAACTTCTCAAAGACATCAGGAGTGCCTTTGCAGCACGTAGCTGGATAGAAACAGATCATGTAAGGGGATGTAGACAACATAGTTGGCCCACCAATATCAATCTGTAGTGTTGAGGCTGACAAAATTTTCAATATATCACTGTTATGGGATACAGCCTATCATAGATTGCAAGGTACCAAGTCAACAAAACTTGACCACCTATACGATCCTGTTTCTCAGACATGGCATGTCAAAAAAGTTCTATTTTCCAGCCAGAATGGAGGCATTTACAGAAAGCCCCACGTAGGATCCCTGCCAAATTGGTCATTGTGCCATCGGCTTAAGCTTTTACAATTTTCTCTATGGTTATCGACAATCACTTTAAGATGAACAGAAGTCTTCCTATTCAAAGGAAATCTATAACAGCAAGAAATGGAGTCTAGATTTACCAGTGTTGTGATAAAAACATGTAACAATTATTGATAAATATTATAATAAAAAAAATAGAAAGAATACAAGATTTAACATGGTTTGATAATATATTTATATTCACATGAACAAGGAGTTTAAAGCTTTTTTTTTTCGTTATATCAAAATAGAATTACATAATATATATTTATAATAAATTTTAAATCACATAAAAAAATCCTGAACATCCAAGTAGTATGAATAATCTTCTCTAATATCCTTTAAACTTACCGCTGGAGCATTACCTCTGCACCCCCAACTTATTAGTCGTTCCATTCTGCACGTTCTGCTCTCCTTACTCCGCTGCAGCATCTGGCTATGAGCCGCAAACCACACCAACCAGCATCAGTAGGAGGCAACGAGAATGATCCTAACTGCTCGGTTTCAAAATCGAAGTGCACGTTAGATTTTCAAGATCACTCTCCGCAAACCAATGAAGGGATCCATTGACAAATGCTGAATCATATGTATGGGTATCGAAAACTTCCCTGACTGCTACTAATTCTCCAAGTTACAGTCCCAATTGTTTATACCATGCCAAGCAGACCAGCCCTCTTATCATTTCCATAATGCGACAAGTAGAATACTCTTAACAACCTTAAACTGGTTGATCTTGGGGCAAAAACCAAAGTCTTCATGATACCTCTTGAAAGCCCTTTGACTTTTCACAATCCGGAAGAGGCATATACTCTCCTGTAATGGGATTTAATACGTGAAATAACGATGATCCGTATACTATCTTTACGATACAACAAGTAATCGATGACTTGATTCACGTACACAAAGCAAGCCATTACAGGAATTGACGGTCTGAAACTGAAACCGTTGGTCGACAGGCTTGGCAGTAGCCGTAGAGCCTCCATGGCAACTTTTGAAGCGTCACCTATGTTTTGTTTTTGTTTTTTTTTTTTTTCAAAAATTGTCTGAGAGAATGCAAATCCAAGAACAAATTATAAAATCTTGGAAATTAGAGAAACCTAAGAGGATGTATTAGAAAAATGAGTTTTGTTTTCTTCAAAAATAACACTAAATTTTTTGACCAACCAAGGTGAATATCCGATGCCTACCATCCATTGTTTTTACTTTTGTTACAAAAGGGGCCGAAGGGCTCGAACCAACAAAGCTAAGAACACCACCTATTAGACAGGGTGTGGTCAGAATTTGGGCTTGGAGGAGGGATTTGCCCTCATTACGTAGTATAAGGGCCTCCTGCTGGGCCTTTTCTTTACATGTCTAGTGAAATTTTTCTTGTTTTCTTTTTATGCCATTTCTCTGCCATTAAAATGAACTTTTAGAACTGTGTTCTTCCAAGAATTTTTCTTTGTCCACCATTAAAGAGAGGGAAAATTCGAACTGAACAAGGCATTAAGAACAGCAAAAAAGTTTCACCTCAGAAGCAAAACTAGGAAAAACTATGAAATCCCTTTCCAGTACATACAATTTAAGAGAAGAGGTGGATTCACGCCTTCTGCCTTGTAGCCACACCACACAGCAGTGGATCTCATCCATTACCTGGAGATTTAGAGAAAATTGTTAGGCAGTGAAAATGCATGTTTCTGCATTCTACAGTAAGGGGATAGCATAAATACTTGCCGGAAAGAATTAAAATCACATTTAATGAATTTTTAACTTGTTCCATTAGCATTCCAGGTTCGATTTCACTCTGTTTGATGCTCTAATTCTTTCAAGAAATCATAGTTAGGCAAGCATTGTCTCTCAGCAATCATATCCTTCTATTACTCGTAGTCCCATGTCAGGCTACGTTTTACAAAAGAATATCAACATAATAAAGCGAAATTGAGAATGAGGCCATAGTTTACAATCTTTACTATTGCATGTTCATTTCAAGATTAACATGAGGTTGAAAAGCCATTGAAGAGCCAGAAGATCGCACTTCAAAATATGTTTTACGAGGCCATAAGGGATCAGTACTGGTGCAATAACTAAATGGATTAGAATTCTGGCGACTGCATGGAACAGGTCATGTTTTACTCGTAAAGTAACAAACACAAGAAGCAGGGAAAACAATATCATAGTTATAAGACCCCTGGTCTGAATTAAGGCCGGGGTCATGGGTGGGGGCATGACATGAGCCAACCCAATCTCTGATATTCTTTTTAGCTTTAGAAAAACCCAAAACAATAGTTGAAAAAAAAAGAAGGATTTTTCATGATTATAAGATTCAACTCGGTCTAAAACCTAGGTTGTAAGTGAGGGTTCCACTTATGTCAACTCGACCTTTGATTTTTTATTTATTTATAAAAAAAACCCAAACAATGTTGTTTTGCCCAAAAAAAAAAGCGTTTTCAACTGACCTGGCGAGGCCAGTACCCGGGTTGACAAATCACGTATCAGACAAGGCTAGATCTTATAACTAGGACAAATATCCTTCCACTCCATCAAAAAGGAAAAGCATAACCTTAAGAACACCATGAAGAAGTCAGATGAGCATGTTTCAACCATAATTGATGTCTTCCCATAAAATAAATGCTTCTCAGTAGAATTTTGCAATGAATTATATTTATTGAAATGGATGGAACAGTAAAAACAAAAACACAGCCAGGAAACAGCTCGTTATCACAAAAGTCTTAAAGAAACTTCTGTTTTCAGTTAAAAAAGTAAATAAAAGAAAGGACATCATGGATGGGATGCTCATATTATTTTTGCATCGAAGAGACAGATGCAACATTAAAGTAGAGAGAAGTAATTCACATGCCATGCCTTCTCTGTTTTACCCAAGATGATGGTGACATCGCAACAATGACCCTTGCTTGGTTATGAAGCAAGGGTCCTGTGAAAGAAAACAAGTTTTTTTTTTTAATTCTTTGCAATTAGTAGCCAAGTACCTACCCAACATTATTGAGATTATCCATTCTGCTGCAAGCTCCAGCAGTAAATTTAAGCACAACGTAGAGTCTCGTCGGCTTATTTATGGTATAAGATGGAACAAAAAAGAGTCAAGTAAATGTTCATCGTTGAAAGAATGCCATCAAAATGCAATTAACAAAATGAAATGATCAAACCTCTCATAGTTTCTCACCGTGCATTGATTATTCTCATCACCTTCTGTTCTTCCAGAACTAACTAAAAACTACAATTGCATTTAATCCTTAATCAAACAATGACCTTTAAGAAAACTGAAGTCACTAGGTGGCGCGGTTTGTACCTTCAAGCAATCTGTGGTTCCCTGTGGCTGCGTAGGCAACGGATGGTTCAACAATTGGCGAGGTGGAGTCTCTAGTCCTTTCACCAGACTGCATTTTTGAAACACATGGAAACAGGTTTTTCTCGTCGATCCCTTGATCATAAAGAATGCCCTTGAAAACATGGCCACTTATATTCACCTTAGCTTGATAGGCAACCTCAGCTTCACCACTATTAATGGCTGTTACTCTAACGCACCTGAAAACTGCCGGTTCACGGACTTGGCCAGGTAAAGACAGTTTGAAGCTTGCATCTATAATTCCAGGGAACAAAAAGAAATAAGCTAACCATTTCCCACTTTTCAACAAATTCAAGTTCACCAAACCTATACCATCAGTGTATGAAGTTTTTCTCAATATAAAATGAAGAATTCCAAGTGATCTCTGGATCACTGGAATCTATTTATTAAGGGCAACATCTCTGCTTTTCTGTTCACGAAAAGATCAATTCCGTCACCAAATACAGCTTATTTTGATGCAAGTTTATAACTATATCATCCTCAAGTCAAAAAAATATTAAACGAAAATCAGAGAAAGAGAGACTCAATCTTGCAAATCAGCATTAAAGTCCTAATGGTCACTAAAATTTACAAATCATAGAACAAATATATCAGAAAGAAAGAGGTACCCTGATAACTGGAGCCTGTATCGAAATTGACAGAAGCAGCGGCATTGTTATTAGAAGTACTAAAACTATTAGATGTAGCAGTCGCATTTTCTCTTGGCCTTTTACCACCAACACAGCCACCACCAGAAGAAGCAGAAGAGTCACCGCCACCGCCACAACCAAGCCTCTCTCGCCTCCTCGCAGCAGACACCCATGTGCTCTTCATGTGAGTGGTACAATCATACTCTCTACTCTTGCAACAAGTCCTGCACCTCCTATACTGGCACTCTTTCTTTGCCCTGTTTCCACAGTCCCTGCAAGCTCTTGCAGGACCAATATTCCTACCAGTATCATTATCCCCAACAACATTTAAATCACCCCTTTTAAAAAAACTAGATTTTTGCTGATATTTATTGAGAGTGGTCCAAGACTCTTGATTGTTTGCAATGTTACATTGATCATTGGTGTTGGCTATTTGGTGAGTAGAGGGAATGTGTGGAGGCTGGTGGTGGTGAAAAGAAGGTGGTGGAGCTATAAAGAGTATGTTGTGAAGGCCTAACATGCTTGTATGATCAGGTGGGAAGGTAGTGGTAGTGGTAGTAACTGGATGTGGCGGTGGTGGCCATGTTTTGGCGGTGGTGAGGGTACTAGGAGTTGAAGTGGCCACAGTTGATGGCTTGTATCAAGAATATAAGTGGATGATTGTGTTTGGTACAAAGAAAAGACTTGCGATGGCAGTTTAAGAGATGGAAATGAGCTAGCTAGCTAGCTAAGCTTACAATGATATAGAAGTGTACAACTTGAAGGCAATTATTGCTGCTCAGAGAGAGAGATTTGTTGCAGAGTTGCTTTTACTGCTAGTAGTCAACTACTGTGTACTGAAATTCCCCTATTTCTAACTGTAAGTCACTTTTTTTTTTAGGAATTATTGCCTGGTAGCTCCAGAGAGAGATACCCGTCTAATAATATTTTTTTATTTAAAATATATTAAAATATTTTTTTTTATTTTTTTATTAATATATTAAAATTATTAATTTAATTCCATTTCAAGATAAATAACTCTATTTAAAATGCATTTCCAAATAATCATTAAAATTTATATCTCTTGTATAAAAATAAATTAGAAAATCTTTTAACTTTTTATTCAAAAAGTCATACAATTTTATTAATATTTTTAAATACATTATACTAATATAATGATTTTTTTTTAAATCACTCTAAAACATATCGATGAATTCATAAATAATTCAAGAATATATTTAATCAATGAATAAAGAAATATATAGATTTTTATTTATTTATTCTGAAATTAAACATCCAAGTTCCTCGGATTTTAATGTTAAATACATGTTAATTTTATATTTCTCAACCTATAATGTAATGGCTTAACATCTCTCCTCTCATAATTAATCCACCAAATTTAAGAAACAATAATTGCCTGTTAATCTTAAAGTACAAAAAAATTAAAAGTTAAGTCACTTTTATCCTATTTGTAATGATGCATCTTCAATTTATTTACTTACCGGAAGCCTTTTGATACAGTGGAATGGCAGCAGCACCCACCATAGATGGGAGGCACAGGCGAGGCAGTGGGAAAAAAATGGTGACCTCCTCTGTCGTTGCAGGATTCCAGGTAATAATTACAAGATCGTAAGTAATAATTATAAAAATCAAAATGTTAGGTATTTGAATCCTCATCTACATCATGATCAGGAGATATATGTGTTTTTTTTGTTTTTGTTTTAATATTTAAGTATATAGAAGAATTTATAATTTTTTTAATACACTGTATCAATATAGAATTGTTCATAAGGAAATTCTTTTTAGTTAAGGTAGCGTTAGATTATTATTTAACAATAAAAAATATAGGTAGTAGAGACAAAAATGTTTTTAAGAAACAGATATATAAAATAAATATATTTTTTGTATAATTTTATATTCTAAACAATATAACCATATAGTATTTGTATTGAAAATTTATATATTATATGTGTCATTAAATAATTTTTCCGCTCCAACTGTATAAACCTTAGTAATTTAATTAATCTTTCATAATTACCTGTTAAATTTTCACCGATGGGCGTCAACATCATATCATCCAACAGGGATCAGCACACCGTGTTTTTTTGTTAACAGTATTTTTTTATATATATAGCAAGATAAGCCAAGGTGTGAGGCACTATAGAAAGGTTTCTCTGACGTGTAGAAGACTCTCACAATTAAAGAAGAGGTGTGGGCCAAACCTAGTCTATAAGTCCAAGTTTAGAGTCTAAAAGCCTAGTCTACATGGCTCCATAGATGGAGGCCACAACCTAGCACGGTAGGCATCTGCTCAGATGCTTTTGCTTTTTTCTTTTTGGTTTTATACTCGTTTTGGGCACAATGATTTTCAAGTGCTGCACCGCTGTGCTCGGTAACCGATTGCTGTGGCTTCTTTCCATTACATGGTGGCCGGTGGGGTGGGGTGGGCCATGGCATGTGGGCTCGGTTGCTTTTGAGTATTAACTCAGATCAGATGGGGAAGCCTAGGCGACGTAGGAAGGAATCTCCTCTGCCATTGATTACTCTGTTTTACGTGATCCAGTAGGGCTCAGATTGTCGATCATTTCCGCAATATACAATATTTTTCTTTTTTTAATTATTAATATAAATATACAAACCAGTTTATACATAATTAATTTTACAAACTTTAAAATTAATAATTATATAAATCTTTAATAGTTTTGAAATTTATAAAACTCAAATCATTAATCTCTAAATAACAAACCTAAAACCAAACAAGTTGAATTAAACCCTTACAAATTAAGCACTCGTTGTTTTAGATGTTTTAAATCTTAGAAATTGCGTTTAATCTTGTTCATATAACAATTAATCTTGTTAATTAAGTGATTTATGTACCCACAACAAAGCTGCACACACAGCACTATGATCCTGAAGCGATCAACCTGTAAGTACCAGGAAGCATAAACAAGACAACTAACCATATGATGGACACCACAACCACTCAATCTCAAGTGCTAAGTTTCTCATATTTCATAGCAACTTCATTACATTGTGTTTTTTCACTTGTTAGTTACCCTTGATGGAACTAGGCAGTATTATACACAGTATTATACGCGAGAGACACATGTTAGTAGTGTTGTGGTTAGAGCTTTTGCATCGCGAGAGATAAATTATACAGCACCTCCATCAAAACGCTAGTTCTTCCCAAATTTGACTGTTGAGCTGAAAACATTCCCTCATGGATTCCAGGTCTCAAAAATAGGAGCATCAGTTGAAACACTCGGCATCTAGATCCAATTGCCTGAGTTTCTGGGTGATCTGGTAGTATGATGAGCAATGAAACCCTAAAGATTCCCTGCTCCTTGTGGGTGGGACATACAGAATCAAGTCAGACAAACCATCTTCTTCCCAGTTGGCATGAACCAAATTCAACCATCTTGCTTAGTGTGCTGAAACATGAGATTTGTTTCTGAGCTGTCTGATACGACGCTCAACCAAGGTTCAGAGTTATTTCCAAGAAAATTTCTAACATGTGAGGGCTTGCTCCAACCGCTCTACCAAGGTTCAGAGTTATTTCCAAGAAAATTTCTAACATGTGAGGGCTTGCTCCAACCTTCCTCCATTGAAATGAGGTTAAGGCGTATCATTAGTTTCTCCACAGCATCTTCCTCCAAGCTGCTTAATTTATTGGATGCCTGTTTTTGCAAGGGGGAACCCTGCAAAAGTTCAAGACTTTTTTTTCAGTTTGTTAGAAGAATGGATGTGTCATGGTATGCCAGGTAGAAAACATACCTTCTCTTGATACAACTTGAGATATTGCAAAGATTGCTCATAAAACCCACAATGGTATAAAAGAACACTGTAGTCTCTTAGTTCCTTAGGGTCGGATTCAAGGAGTATTAAACGCTCACAAGCTGCAACAAAAGCAATACTTTCCTCATGAATATAAGTTTAAAAGCAATTGCGAGGATCTTTTTCACGGTGATCAACTATGTGGCAATTGCTTGAACCAGTGATTATGTGATAGTTTGTGTATCAAAATCCATGGCTATCTTTCTTCCCTTTCCATTTCTTATCCCATAATGGAAATTAATGATTCAATTTGCCACTCAAGATAAAAATAGTTTAACATTTTGAATAGTTGTGTTCTATCTTCGTCTGTGCTTTTCCCAGACACTCCTCCCTTTGTCCCCTGATGAAAAGAGTAAAGGTAAGTGATGGCTCAATTTGTCACTCAAGTTAATGCGATATCAAAAATGATAGTTATCCTTATAGTTTTTAACATTTTGGATACTTATGTTGCATCTTGGTCCGCACCATGGCTACAAGGCCACTCATCCCTCTCTCTCTCTCTCTCTCTCTCTCTAAGTTCTTTGTATCACGACATCATACAAGTGGGATGTAAGCAGACAACCAGTGTACAGGATAGTTATGCCATAACTTGCATCAAATATAGCTCACTGGTCTGTAACCGTCCCAAATCAGAAGTCCATTATTAAGTTTTTAAAAAGAAACCGAAAAAGTTGACTAGGACATGAAGCATCATGCATCAAGGATATGGGGAGGTCCCACGACACACCTTTCTAGTAACACACTCCATAACTCGACTCAGTGGAGGAGGAGGAGCAAACTACTGTCTTCCAAGCATCGTGGTAACAAAAGGGCGATGAAGTTGAGCAAACTACTGTCTTCCAAGCATTGTGGTAACAAAAGGGCAAACTACTGTCTTCCAAGCATTGAGGTAACAAAAGGGCGAGGAAGTTAACAGACAGATGGAAGATGTGAAGCATCACCCAAGTCTCTCCATCATCAAATAAAAAAAAGAGAACCAAAGAAGGACTAGGGAGACACGATGAAAACAACTATTCAAATGAATTGCTTATTTTGGATGGCCATTGTATATTCTACTTGAAGACAGCATACCCGCCCAACCTGCTAAGGCAAGGACTAAGATTTTCTTCCAACAAATTAAGGAGAGTGTGCAACCCCCAAGCCACACTAAGGAAAACACAGACACACACACCAGAATTTGAAACTTCTGCCATAGTGAATAATGACGATTGAATAAAAAATGACTACAATGCATGGATCCAGTATCACTGGGAAGCCAACGCAAAAGACCAATGTGGTTTCACATGTCAACATGTTGCCATTACCTGTCTGGCACCTTAAATACAAAGTCCCATCAAACTGCCTGGGACATCGATGGTAAACAGAAAAAAAATAATTTGACAAGTGCACCTTCATCTTATAGATACATACCAGATAATGCACGTCTCATGTCCCCGAAGTGTACACTAGTCCAAACACCACGGTCTAGCCTATGTTGAGCAGCCTTTGCAGATGCAAGCTCAGCACCACTGCAATAGAGAGAGAAATAAAATAAAAAAAGTATAAGCTCAACTACAACAAAAGGAGGAGAAAAAGAAAGGCTTCACAGAGCTAAAAAGTGAAAGATAACGCACACAAAGTACAAAATTCATTGCAAGATACTGTTAATACCTTCCTTCAAAAGTTTTTGATATATCAACACAGTCAGCTGCATGTGCTGCCCGTAAGAATAAACTCTTGGTATGATCATGTTGAAATGGCCAAAAAGCCTCCTTTAAGTTTCTCAAAATCTGCACTCGTGATACAATGCAAGTAGGAGAAAAAAAAAATCAAGCTAGAAAATGCTGCACATGTATAAATGCAGCAGACAACCTAATGCTTAACCTAATGTACTAAAGACATTCACACATGATACCAACATGATACAAAAACACATCATCTGTAAATGAAAGAAGTTGCTGAAAACAAACTATTCAAGATTCATGAATTCATCAGTAAAAAAATATCACTTTGGACTTGTGTTGTACCATGTGGGTGTCCCAATTTTGTGCTCTTTCATCATGCATATCGGAGGAACTGGTAAAAGACAACAGGAAAAAACACAACCCACCTTCTCCAACAGAGTAAGTGATGTCAAAATGTGTTGATGATCAGAGTCCTTACTTTTCTGCTTGTGATAGCCTCTTGGAAGACCATGGTTGTCATGTGGGAAGAAAATCTCACAATCAAAATCCAACAGGCTCCATAACCGAAGCGTTTTCAGGATTTCTGAGTATATAAGTGCAAGCATAACAGCAGAGCCTGATCGATGTGTCAAAACCTGCTCAATACAGTATATTAAAATATAGTAAAAAAAGAAGTCCCAAATACAAAAAATATTCTTCTCTTGTAAAGAGTTCGAATTTATAAGCTGCAAGGCAAATTTCTATACAGAATGAAGATACAAAGATCGTGGCTCCAATCGACTTTTCATAGTGCTCCTTCGAAAGCCCTGATTAGAAAGAAGTAAAGAACCAGATTGTATAAATCACAGTCACATCGTACCAAAGTGCAAGGAAGTAAATTATAAAAAGCTAAAAACCTAGTCAAAACTTACTTAGGATGAAACTAGGATAACAGTTTCGATTCATCTTTAATACAATAAGTTTCGCTAAACAAATTTTTCATCAACAACCTAATTCCTTTCTTTGACATCAGCAACTGAGACACAAGAAATTATTACATGGACCAAGCAAACCAATCACCCTCCTGGGATTCATTACTCTAAGTAATCAATCAAACAGTTTGTTCCACATAAACCCTGTACTAGCAATAATGCTTCTTTGAACACCGAAAAAACTAAACACCTAGAAGGAAAAAAAATGCAAGAAAAATGGTTACCTTCTTGACATACAAAAATTTCTCCAAGCTATCCAGAAGCATCTCTGGCGATGACTTCAATGCAGAGCTATTATTAGTGCAGAATCCCATGGAAAGATCATCCAATCTTTCAATGAAAGCATCCACGGGGAGAGCAACCGAAGAGTGTGATATAAGAGAATCATCCTCAGCTGCTATAAAAAGTGCCGTTTTCGCCAAATCAACACGTCTATTAATGCTAATACTGATTTCCCTCTCAATGCTTGACAATCTTTTAATTTGTGACATGAAATTTTGCCTTGCCTCCTAAATAATTAACAATCAATCACTTATCAATTTCAACATTTTAGAGAAACCCCACATCAAAATTTTAGCTAGAAACAAAGGTTCCAAATTCAAATATAAATACGTAAACTTTAACATAATTGGAAAAAAAAATGGGTTCTAAATTTTCTACAAAAAAAAACCATATAAAAATAAAACACAATCTCATACTTCATTAAAACTGTATCAAATTTAATAAGCAAGAAAACCCATTTGGCAACTTTCTATTAACATCCAAAAAAACAAATTTTTTTTAACAAAATTAGAAAAAAAAGAAATTGGAAGGCATTTTGTAATTACTCTGGCATGAGTGGTGTTGATTCCAGAAGAATCCAAGGCATCATGCAAAGCAAATTGGAAGTCAGTCGTTCCCGGGGGAGGAGGTTGGGATCCTCCACGGCAAACCACACGGCAAGGAGGAGGAGCAGAAGGATGGGATTGGTATTTGGAGAACTTGGAAGATGAGGAAGACGATGGTATTGATGATAAAATTGCAGCTATGGCAGCCATTATGTGAGTAACTACATTACCCACCTTTTCAAGTGGGAGAGAGAAACGATGGAAAGAAAGATAAAGTTGATTTTTATTTATTATTGGTTTAAAAGAGGAGTTTTGATTTGGAAAATCGAAATTGAAAAATGGAAAGATTTGTTTTTTATGAAAATGGAAAATGAAATTATTTTTTATTAATGGACAGATTTTCTTATATAAAAAATGGATGCACCACAAAAAATCTATTAATTTTATATTAAATAAATGACTCTAACACCCAAGTTAATTTTTTCTTAATGTAAAAATAGATATTAAACAATGACAAAGCTTTTTTTAAAAAGAAAAAACAAAATAAAATAAATATTTATATCATTCACTTGATTAGGTTTAATAAATTTGATTAATTTAATATTTTAATTAAAAAACATCAATAACAAATAAAACAAATAAAACAATAATTAATAATAAAAAAAATGAGCTATTAATATTATATTTAAATAAAAAACAAACTTGCTAAAGACTCACTATTACTTGGTCGTAAACATAACTCCATCATTAGAAAGAGTTCATCAGGATGGTTCTAACATCACTATAAAAGGTTGCACAACAATACTAAAAGAGACCATACGCGCTGACAGCACAACAAATTAGAAAGTAAACCAAACAAAAAATCATGAAATAAGTATCTAATGCTTATATTTAATTAATTTAAAAATAAAATCTAAAAAAATAAAATTTAACAAAGAACAATAAATTAAAAAAAATCCAAGGTAACTATAGTAATCTTTAAAATTAGTAAAAAAAAAAAATTGATAAAAAAATAAAAAAATAACAGCACCCAATCTCAAATTAAAAAAAAAGAGAGAGAAAAAAACACCAAACAAATCCAGACAAATCTTTTAAACCTAAATCAATCTCCCAAACTTGTAACTTGTGAAATTTTATATTCGAATTTAATCAAGAAGCTCAATTCACTATCAATTTAATGTTGAACGATGAAATAAAAAAATTTCAATTTAAAAAATAGATATTTTCTAGGTAAAAAATATTGATCAAATCTAAAAGAAAAAAAATAAAGGAGGATAAAATCATTAAAAAAATTCAATTTTAAGAGTTATCTCAAATAAAAAAATAGTAATAAAAAAAATAAGGACCAAATCTGATAGATAAAAAAATTAAAGGAGCATGAAATTAAAAAAAAATTCTAATTTTATAAATTATTTTAAATAAAATAAATAGTAATTAAAAAATATTGATCAAGTCTCAAGGAAAAATAAATTGAAGGGCCACTATAAAAATTTAAAGGGTTTGGAGCGAAAATCAGATGATAGTGAAAAAAAAGGGGCTATCATCATCAAACCAAAGATTAATAAGCCACAAGTATCATTTAAGGATGAAGATGTTGCCAAGACAATAAAATGTCACTTCAAAAACCATAGTTCAACCACTAAACAACCCCTTAGATGTCACTTGAATAGTGTGAAAATAACCCACATGATAAACGTGCAATGAACACAATAATCACTTTTTTAAAAAAAAAAAAATCATATTTTATATTTATTAAATTATCAAATTACCTCCTTGTCAATTTAATTTTAACAAAAAAACTAAGCTGAAAATACAAAAATGCTAATAGACATCAGTTAAAAAAATTTTATTTTTAAAAGTAATTTAGTTATTTTATTGTGTTTTAAAAGAATAAAAATACGAAACATCCCTAGACACTAGTTAAAAATATCTTATATTTAAAGACAATTTAGTTATTTTACTGTGCTATAAAAGTTAAAAAACAGATATATCTAACCAATATAAAAATGGTTAATAAACTTTGTGAAAATATCATGTTACCTATAATAGTTAATTCAATAACTTTTATTGGAAAAGAAAAAATTATTATTTCATTGCAATCCACAGTAGAATGTAATTGCCTTTAAGAGTAAAATACTAACCTTCTTTATTTTTTTAATATAATATGAAATAAAAGTATGCATCAAAATTTAAGAGTTTACTGAGTAACACAAAATATTTTTTCTAATTTTTTAAATAAAAAATAAAACATTTTTATTTGTTAAAAATGAAGGCATATTTCCACCAAAAAATAAAAAAATGCATTAAGATCACAACTATTTTTATAAAAAATCAAAACCATCATCTTAATATTTTGTATTTGTAAAAATCTAATTGTAGAATATAAATTTTATTTCATTCAAATTAAATATTATCATGACTTAAAAAAATATATTTATATTATATTTATAATAAAATTTAAATTTATGACATTAACTAAAAATGAGATGATATAAAAAAATAATATTAATTTCTTACATTGCTAAAAAGCGCTTATATACAAAAGAAAAAAAAGTATTTTCCATGTTTTTTCTTCATTTAAAAAATGGCAGACAAATTGCAAAGAAAAACCGAGGAGAACCTCTAAAATATGTTTTTCAAATTCAATATAAATTTAAAAAATCAGTTTTTTTAATTTTTTGGACGGAGAAATATCATATTTGAACCTGAACTTCTAGTTCTTCTTTTCCCAGCACCAATTTCTAGAAAATTGGAGCATTATTGTATTATTCTTTTTTAATTTTTTGTTTTTTTTTTGTTTTCAACGAGTTATTCTTATCATTGATTGATGAATATCCATGATGTGAATTACTCTTTATATTATTAAGAAGTAAGTACAAGAAATGCAAGCTTGAATAAAAATGGCATATCTAATGTTCTAATTTTGGGTTAGTTAAGAACCCGACATTATTATTTTCTTACCAAAACAACTTTGTTTTGAATTTGTTTTTCAAAAAAAAATAAAAATTGAATTGATCCCATCAACCCTCAACCTGCAACGTAAACTTTGAACGGGATCGAACTCAAAATCAGGTATCATGACAATACTATGTGACACAAATATTTTACTTTTGTTTATTTCTTGGCAGAAAACAAGAAACAGAGGTGATTGCAGAGCTTCTTTGATTTTGGATGCGAGCAGAACAACTCGGCCAATGAAAAATGTTCGTGGGATAGCTATTTTTTCAGTGAAAGCATGCCCGAGAAAGAAAAAAAGAGAGTACTAGCCAGACACCTCATATCAGAGTTCCCTTCTAGCTGTCTGGAACATGAACAGAAAATAGGGTAGAGAATTTACCCAGAGAAGATCATCATATACATGCTTACCAGAGATAATGCAAGCCTTATGTCATCCAAGTGTAAACTGGTCCAAATGCCACGGTCTAGCCAATGTTGAGTAGCCTTTGCAGGTTCAGGATTAAAGCTGAAAGCTACTGCTGCACGCAGATTTCAAATAAACATTTGTAAACACAACTATCACAATGAGGAAAAGAAAGGCTAGCACTCAACTAGAAGAAAGGATATTTTTTGTCAAATCCTATCACTTGCATTTCTCAATACATCAGTGTGCGATCGACTGAGAACTTTAAGTTAAACAGGCTCTCCCCTGTAATTTAGCTCTTGAGCGTAGTTATATATATATATATATATATTGTAGAGTGCTGGTTTACTTCCTTTCCTGCCATACAATGGGCTGGCATGGATAAATGACTGTTAATCTCTTTCAATTTTCCGCCCTGCTGTTCTTAACATATTTTGTAAAATTTTGCTGTCTGCAGAACATCCTGCCCACAAAAATCCGGTTAGAATCTGCTCTATCCATTGAACTGGTACATACTTCAAAATCCGGTTAGAATCGGCTCTATCCATTGAACTGGTACATACTTCACCGAATATCGAATACGAAATTAAGATGAAGAATTTATGAACATGGACCTTGTGTAATTACTAAACCAGTTATGGATTCACCTTGAATATCCCGTCATTAGGTGGTCAGTTGGCTACATGTCAAATACTTCACCGTCTAGTCTTGTTTATTTCACCTTTAATTACAATGAGAGAATGTCATTTGCGTGAACCAGTGTATATATTATAGTGGGTAGTTCTCCTCTGACATGATTTACTCTATATAGTTCGCTTCGAAAGGTCATGAAAAGATCAATGACTACTTCTGCTATCATAATTCCTATGTTCTGGTTGCACTTGTTAGTAGCTACCATTAGTTTGGATTCTGCTGTGGGTGCTCCAGTGCAGGATGCAGGCTGAGTGAGAATGGTGCCCTTTTGAAGTTCAAGAATGATCTCACCGACCCTTCAAACCGGCTTGCATCCTGGGTTAGTGATGAGGATTGCTGTAGATGGTCTGGAGTTGTTTGCAAGAACTTAACTGGCCATGCTCTTGAGCTTTATCTTGGAACCCACATTTCTTATGATGTAAATTTAGCCTCCACTGCTTCTGTTGACTTGGAAGATAATCGTGGATCAAAGCTCGGCGGCAAGATTAGCTCTTCTTTGCTAAACCTGAAATATTTGAGGTACTTGGACCAAAGCAACAATGATTTTGGAGGAATTCACATCCCCAAGTATCTTGGCTCCATGAGGAATCTAAGGTACCTTGGTCTCTCTCATGCTAGAATAGGAGGAATGATCCCTCATGAACATGGGAATCTCTAATCTGCAACATTTTAATCTCAATGGTAATGATCCTGAAACCCATGCTGACAATTTACGTTGGCTATCTGGTCTTTCTTCTCCAGAATTTCTTGATTTCAGTAATGCGGACCTTATCAAAGCCTTTGATTGGCTTGAGGTTATAAACATTTCTCCATCTTTAGCAGAACTACGCATATTTTTTCTCACTAGGTTATCTCTTCAATACCCAACTGGTTATATTCTTTCAGCCATCTTGAGTTCCTCGAACTAGGGGACATCTATTTTCAAGGTAAAAATTCAAGTGCCATCGGTAACCTGATTAGCCTTGACCTCTCATCTAACAAACTTGTAGGGGTTCGAATAATTTGAATGGCCCGCTGCATCATATATCGTCCGGCGTTATTGGATTAGATCTTTTCATTAATTCATTGTGACGGTACATTTCCAATTTCTTGTGTTATAAATATTGGTTCTTATCAAATACAAGTGGAATAGTTTAAGTTTTGAGGTTGAGATGATTTTTTCATGCAAGATTGATGAGCCAAAGAAATAGAATGCTCTTGGAAACCACTTCTTGTCTGGAGAGATCTGGATTGTTAAAAGAACTGGCGAGATTTGGAAGCCATGAAAATTGAGTGACAGCTAATTTAGTGGCAATATTCCTAACTACATTGCATCTTCAAAATAGCCACCTCTCTGGCAAGGTTCCTGTCACTGAAAAATTGTACCCAATTAGACATTGGATTTTACTGTCAGCAATTTCAGAGGGAACCTTCCAACATGGATGGGGAAACTTTCAAGTATGAAGATCCTAAATCTTCATGCAAATCAGTTTGATGGCCAAATACCTGTAGAATTTTGTGATCTAGCTTCTTTACAAGTTTTGGATCTTGCTTATAACAACTTGAATGGAACTATACCGAACTGCATCAACCATTTTAGTTCCATGAACAAGATGAATGGTTCTAAAGGCCTCATTGATTTGGTAAAATTGTCTTCAGAAAGTGCGCTTCTTGTGATGAAAGGAAGAGTAGCTGAATATAGCAGTATTCTCAATTTTGAAAGTATAGATCTTTCCCTCAATGATTTATCTGGAGAGATTCCAAACGAAGTAACAAGCCTTGAGGAATTGCAGGCACTAAATTTGTCACATAATTGTTTGGAAGGAAAAATTCCTAAGGATGAAGGTGATATGGGATCGCTATAATCTCTTGACCTCTTTCAGAATCCTCTATGGTGACATCCCTCTAAGCCTGGCAAGTTGACATTTTTTAGTCACTTGTACTTATCCTACAAACTTGAGCGGAAGAATTCCTCGAGCACTCAATTGCAAAGCTTCAGTTCATCCAGCTTCACTGGCAACAAAGGTCACTGTGGGACTTCCAAGAATCGCATTGCAGATGGTACAAATAATGATTATATTAGAAGAGATAGAAGGGGATGTTAGTTCCGACGTTAACTGGTTCAATGTGAGCATCACAACCCGAATCTCGAGTCTTAACCGGTAATGCAGGAATACTGTCAAAATAACACCTTATATACAAAATAACACCTTACATACGCTAAACCTCAAAATAAATATCTCAAAAGAACAATTTATTTAAAAATACATAGCATTTCATAATCTTCAGAAATATTATATCATTCAAAACTAGTGAAATCAAAAGATAATTTAAAACTCTTCATCAGTAATTAAAACAAAAACAATAATCCATAATACTCATTACATTATTAAGATTTAAACTTAATCAAAACATAGTAATAGTGGAGCATATAAGATATCAACTCAAAACTAAAAGGAAAGCCTCGTAAAACAAGCAAGACATACCAACTAAAACTGAAGAAGTAAGTACACTCAACAAAGTCCACTTTCTGTAAAAACTAAGAACTTAAAATAATATTAAGAATGAGAGGTGAGCTTAACAAATTCAGTGAGAGAATAATATTTAATATACATTTTAAATATTAATAGTTTGCAAGTTGATTTATCTTGATATACATATACATACTAAATATGTTATCATAAAGTAGTGGAATACATGTCAGAGATCAAATGACACCCGATGATGACAAGATGACACTTAAAAATAATCAGATAACACCTGAAGGTGATCGTTGTGGGATGATCAATCGCTATAGGCTAATGTCTCTCTCACCAGCTAGGTATATAAAATATTATGTACATATAGGCTTACTACTCTTCGTTAGCATAGAATTGTTGATAAGTCCTAATATCAAGTCATAATAGATATTCAAAGAATCATCAAAGAAATGTATATTATATCAAATAGAATTTAGTTCGACAGAATGAGTGCAAATTCAAAAATAGATGATTTCTCGAAAAATAAAGCAACATATATAAATATTAAAGAGATTAACCAATCATGCTCATCATATAATCAACATACATATTTATTTATATTATATGCATATTAAAGATTATTCCACTTACTAGGAAAAATATAGATTAAAAATAATATTAGATGAAAGACCCAAAAAACCTATTGAGGATATGAAATATACTCAAAAGCAACTCAAACCAATGCAAATAAAAGATTCTAATACATAAAAGAAAACCAGATTTAGTCTCCTAGGTTTAAGAACTAAAATGATAATTATTCAAAACAAGGACCAAAATGTATTTTTATCAAAACTAGATCAAACTATAAATACATAACCATACTGAAATTTTACCCGTAAACCACTTTCAATTCTGTCTAGTATGAGCCTGGGACCGAACTATAATTTTTATAAAGTTTAGGAAATAAAATGTAAATTTTTAAAATTTTAAGGACCAAACTGATTCATCATCTTTAACCTCATAATAACACTTTCCAGAATCTCAAAATACATTTAGGGATCAAATTGTAATTTTTTTAAAGTTTAGGGATTAAACTAAAGTTTTCATAAATCAATGACCAAAATAAAATTTGGTCATCTTTAACCTCAAGACCATTCTGTCCAGATTTTTCGGCAAGGTTAAAATGAATTTCTTAACTTATAAAAATTAATTTAAATAAATCAACTCACAAATGCTTATTTCTAACAACATATTAATTAATTACCTAACATTAAATCCTTAATAATCATAAATCAATCTTAACAATATAAACTTCTAATCCTTATAAACCCCAATCTCTTTTTTTTTTTTTTTTATAATCCTTCCATAAACAAATCATAATTAAAAATAAAATGAGAGAGAATCACTTACTTGCTACTTATACCTTTTTTAAACCCAAAAACACAAGATCAAAAACTGTAATTCTAAGCTTGACGAGGGAAGAGTCACGGTGGCCATAAGAATTAGAAGGGAGAAAAGTAATTCTCTTGCAACTTTTTTATATATATCTAGTTTGTCAACTGCATTCTATGTATGTAGTCCACTAGGAGTGATCATTTTCAGTTCGGTTTAGTTTTTACCTTTAAAAAACAACCAAACCAAAAAATAAAAATGAAAACCGGTCTAAATTGACCAGTATCGGTTCTATTTTTGATGTCCAAAACTGAAAAAATCTATGTTCTTTTTTCAAGTTTTTTCGGGCTTTGTAACGGGCTATTAATGGGCTTTTGATGAGATTGTAATTGATATTAATAATGTCTAATTTTCCTAGAACATTCCAAAGTATATTTAATTTTTTTGCTACTGAATATTCATTTGTATTAGATTGTTATTGTCAATCATAAGTTCAATAAATTTTTACCTTTCTAATTTTTTTCAAAAAAGTTTAAATAATACACAGCAATAAGTTAAACTTCAAATTACAAACTATTTTCTTCAAAGGGTTTAAAGAAAAAAAAACCAGATAACATTATCATCAAACACTTCAAGCTAAAAAAATAAATCTTCATTTGCATATCATTTCAATAAAAAAGCACATCAAGAACATTGTACTTTGATTCCTGAAATTCAAAATCTAGAATTATAAGATGATAAATTAAATTAAAAGATATAAAAATAAAAAATAATATTTTTATTATATATTTTCAATAAATGTATCAATTTATGAACTAATTATTATTTATTCTCAGTAGATGAAGCATTTTAATTTTAAAGATTTTTCATATATAATTATCAAATGAAAATATATTAATGTTTATGCATGTTGAAATATACAGTATATAAAAGACTTAAAAACCCAAAAAATGGCATAATGATTAATGCCATGATACAACAGCTAACAACTATAGGTAAAAAAAAAAACCCAAAAAATAGCACAGCATCAATTAGAAACATCCAAAAAAGAAAATAACAGACTCAAAAACCAAACTACAAAGTCTGAAATTAAGACCGCACAAACCAGTAGAAATAATAATAGACAGTCAACTAAACTTGAAGGTTGAAGCACATTAACAACAATAAATATCGACAATGACACACAATGAAACAGACCTAACCAGAGCATGAAAAAAAGATTCAAACAGCAACCAAATGCATGAAATAAGAGCAGGTTTGATCATAGAAAAAGAACATGAAAATTAAGTGAACGAGGATTATTGATGTTTTAACAGTCACTAAGTAACAAATTCCTCTGTCTATCGCCAGTGTTAAGTTTTAACATAGATAGGCAAGAAGAATTCAAAACTGTGTACAACCTGTGTGAATACATAGTACATCCGTGAGTAACTGAGAGCTATACAAAATTCAAAACCATGCTAACGTGTGTAACAGAAGCAGCAGAAAAAGATCTAAGATTATTAATTTGGCCTGATATTAAAAAGATGTTGAAACAGGAATTGTTGCAGAGAAGCTACTCAACCTTATAAGATGAGAACAAAATCGATAGGTATAACGTAGCTGATTGATAACAAAAGGACGTGTACTACAAGCATTAACCCATCTCAAATAACAAACTCAAAAAATCAATTATTAAATCAAACCAAAAACAACAAAACAAAACAAGAATCAGCAAAACGAGGACATACTTTTCAATAAAAATGAAGTTCTCTCGTGGCTGATTGATCGTCTTTTGAGAAGAGGACAACGATTCCAATCCAGATTGTGTTTGTTCCACCTTCATTTTTACATTATTTAAAATAATTAACACATCAAAATAGAAAAATAAAAACAATATAAAATAATAATATCAATTTAACTGAAATACGATCCATAAAAAAATTGAAAAATAAAGGGTGAATTTGATCAAAATGCAGTTACTTGTTGGCGAGCAATGTAACCTGCTTTGATAGAAGCAATAGATTGAAGAAGCTCTGGAAGCGGTAACAGTTTCACCACCTCACGCACGGCTGTTTCTTTCGAGATGCGAGGAAAGAAGAATAGCCTAAGTTCGTTGACTGATGAAAATCTTAGAACTGGGTGTGACACTGTGGATTGAGGACAGAGGAGGAGAAGAAATACACTGTCTGTGTCTCTAAACTTTTCGAGGGAGGGGGCGGCTATGTGAAGTGTGAAGGAAATTAGCTTGCTAGGATTAATGGAATTGGGAGGGGGTGGCTCGTCCTTCGTGAATGAAGAAAATACCAAATTAGTCTGCTAGGGTGTTACGTACCTAGTCACTAAGAGCGGGTGCAGTATATGGGAAGAAGAAGCTAAAGGTGGTGCAAGATCTGCAACACGCAACGTGCTGGACTGTTAATTCTGTTAGTTGTTAGCCATAATTAGTTAGCATATTGTTACAGGCTTATAGCTGTCATAGTTAGTAGTTATTTTCAGTTAGTTAGACTAGCCAGTTAGTATTTATTTCATTTACTATAAAACCATGATCATGGTTATCAGCTGGGGGGAAATATATACAATAAAGAAAATTCAGTCTCAACTCTTCTCTCTCGAAATCTCTCTAAACAATTGCTCTGTTCTTCACCTCATTTCTTCTTTCCTCGTTAATAAACCTTAACAATTGGTATCAGAGCCTTAAGATCTAACACCATGGTTAAAAGCGTGGATGAACACTACAAGAAACTAGAGGAACGAATACAGATCATTCAAAAAGAATTTCAGGAGTCCTTGAACGATTAACAAAATAAATAGTAGAAGCAGCTTGAGGAACAAAGTAGGAAGACTGATCAGATTAGTGTTCAAATTGAAACGCTATCAAATCAGTTCCAATCGTTTCTTGCTACTCAGATGGCAGGAAAAGAAGTTGGAGCCAATTCTAAAGGAATCTTGAATACTCCAATGGAAAAAAAAAAAGGTGCTAACAGCAATCAAGAAAGAGAATTACAAGGATCCAAGTACGTACAGGAAGGTCAAATTAATAATCATGAAATTCAAATGTTTAGAGCTGAATACAAGAGACAATGGCAGGAACAAAACAAAAAGCTTGATCAAATCGGATCAAAATTGGAGGTTTTAATGGCCCTGCTAAGAACATACTCAGAAAGCCAAGAAGTTTAAAGAGCTAGCACAATTTCTGATGGGAAAGAACAGAATAGTAAAGAGGCTGTAATTTACAACAACCACTCAATTCCATTTTTTGATCAAGAATCCAATATCACAACTTCTTTCTTTATAAGCCTTGGAGGGTTAATGATGTCTCTTAGATCACAAGAAAGGAACACAATAGAGTCCGAGTTTTATAAGTATGAAGAAAGGCATTATAAAGATTTGAAGAAGGAAAGAATTGGAGTTAGAGTTTCAGGTTCATTTTACAAATGCCGCTATTGTCATGGGAGAGATTACTATCCCTGGGATTTTCTCCAGCATGCTTATGATCTTGGTAGAGGCTCAAAAAGAGGGACTCTAAAAGAGGAAGCTCAACACCTAGCTCTTGCAAGGTATATTCAGAGGCATCTTGATGTGAAGGATAGATCAGAGTCCTCCTTGAAAAGAGAAGTTGTTCGTTCCCTCTGCCTAAACACCGAAACTGAATGGCATGCTGTCCGAAAAGCCTTCTTTTTATTTACAGACAGAATCAGTTTAGTTCAGGTTGTCTGATTTAAACATTATAAAACTGGAGATCAAACTGAACCAATTCTGTTAAAGTTATCCAAGATAAAACTGAAAATCAAACTAAAATAGATTTTTTTTTAAATATTCTAATTGATTTTTTTTTATGGTTTAATTTTTTTGATTAATTTTTTTTATTTTCTCAGTTAAATTTATTTTTTTATTTTTTTCCTTACCCCTACAGTCCACCCATTGCATGGGAGGAACAACAAAAAAAGAGGCAAGTTTAGAACGAGGATCGGTAGGCCAATATAACAGGGAAAACAAACTTGAGGAAATAACATTAATGTGCAGCGGACCACTGAAATTAGCATTGCATTAGAAGGCAGCCTAATCAAACAAATCATGATCTTCTGGATAATATCTTATTCTTATCGATGGAGACCTACATAATCAATCTCCATTCAAGTCTTTAGTGATGCAATCCAATAAGTTCCGCTTTGATTAGTTCGGAAGCTGGGATTTGTATATCTCAAGGCCAGATGTAGCTGCAGTAATAGGACACAACCTGATAGAATAGGAGTACGGCGCAGCTGGAACAAGATAGTTGTCATGGACGCATGGTGACCAACTATCATCTCCACCTACTCCCATATGTTTGTGGTCAAGATGCACCTGAAATTCAAACACGTTAAGTTAAATACATAATCCAAGACAAATGACCAAATAGTGGCATATGAGAGAAAACTAGAATGGTAAACAAGTGGCGGCAAAAATAAGCAGATGAACTAACAACGTCAGCAAGAACAAACTTATTCTCCAAGAGCATCTTTGTTTGTTGAGGAAACGTTAAATGACAATTTTAAGCGCATGGCCATGCATGCATGTGAAGGTTGGAGAATTAAATGTAGATCGATTTTTGGAATGGACCAGTCCAATATATGTATACTCGCTAGTTTATTAAAATATAGATTCAACAATTGACGATAGTGTAATTTACCTCAATGTCATTTCCTTGAGCAAGTTCTTCCTTGTGTGTCGCTCGGTCAAGTTCTACTGTGGAATAGTAACTAGCACTCATTTGCATTGGTGGGGAGCTGCCATAAGTTGAAGCAAAGATTCCTACTCCGTCCTTGTTCTGAAAGGTCACCCACCTAACATCTGCTCTACCAGAACATTCTCCAGGAACAATATAAGGAACATGCATGTCACTGACATTCTGCTCATAGACCCCAACATGGGCTGCTGCTTTTCTATCTGGATAACATTCAAATGGCCCTCTTCCATACCATTTAATCTGATCCACTGATTTCTCCAAGTGCAATTCAACTCCCACTCGAGGCAGAGGTGGAAGCTCAGAACTTGGAATTACATTGCATTCAATAATCAAGTCCCCGGAACTATAAACTGTGTAGATCATATTAACTGTGAATAAAGCATTTGAATGTGAAGATGAGCCCTCCTCACAACTTGTGGCACCGACATGAACAGCCTCTATTTTCACAATATCATTGGCCGTGCTCTTCACAGAACAACTTTTTGTGTGATATACAATGCTATCAATACGAGCTTCTTTCCACCTAGAGTAGTAACTTTTTTTCTCTCCACCTTTGTCATTATCTGTTGGTGCTCTCCAGAAGCATGGGAATATGCCTTTATTCATAACAGGAACTCCTCCAACCTACAATCACCACACTTTTGGAACTCAGTTTGTTGAACAGCTAAAAATGCCTATCTGTGCAAGGTCCAGGATGAAATATAAATTCTGTTCCAGAAAAATGTTAAGAATATCTAGTTGTTATTAGGTAATGATAATGTGCTTCATTCCATTTGTATGAGGTCTTCAAGGTAACCTGAAAACTTGAAATTCAAATGGAAATCTTTAGATGGCATTCTGAGCTTTGTTTATATCTAGGAAGCAATAGGAGGGAGGGAGGGACATGATTTAGCTAAAAACTTCTTATGAGGTCATAAGAAAATAAGAACTTACAGGTCCTATGAACTACCAACACATGAATCAGAGACATATCAAAGAACAAATGTTCCATGCATTACAAAGAAATTACACCACAGCTTGTTCAATAAAAGAGAGGTCATTTTGGCTTAAATTTGAGACCCCAGGTCTGCCGAAAACTTGCCCTTCCAATTATTAATGGAACAAACAGAAATGATAGAACACGCAGATGCCAAACATACATTCTTCGCAAAGAGCGTTACAGTTCATATGAACTGCTAAACAAGATCCTGCATCATTTTCATTTGCTCCATATCAGAGAATAGTTCCTCCATGCATTAAAAGAAATTATGCTACAACCTTGTGTTTCAATAATAGACAGGTCAACTGACAACATGTACTCCAAGATGAATTTCAAAATTAGTTTACGATTACTTTGATTACAATTTGGTATTCTGTTGTTTTAATGCACTTCTGTAAGAAGGCGTTTCTTGCCAAATGAGTTTTTCACTTGTGAAAGTGGTTTCATTAAAGTAATCACATACCAGACGTAGTTAGATACATCCAGGCTCCACTTGTATGGAAAAACATCGAAAAAGAAGAGAACCAGAAATTCATTTATTTATGTATCTAGTGTCAATGTACTGAACATGATACACTGGAACAATTCACAAAAGCAATGCTATACCTTCCAGCTCTCAACACTTCCTGTTTGAATGTTCCATGTTATCTCCCAAAAGCTTGGCAGCCTGACTTTAACGATATCTCCAAGAGTTTCAATTAAGACTTTAGCATCAGTAGTTTTGATAACCTGGAAGCCAGTGCCATTTGCAAACCAGAAAGCATAGCTGTAAAAATCTTTGAGCATAAATGATATTATCCAATTAAGTATAAGGAAGAGCATTTACATGAGGTAAGATCTTTCTTGTGGTAGGCAACTGGACTTGTGAAGATGAAACAACATGACCAGCTTCAACCCAGCGTGTGGAATGCAGAAGTGTAGTAGTTATTGTTAAAAATATTTCTTCCGCAAAAGATGAAGCCAAAAGAGGATACCAAGGACCTGACTCCCATTCCAACTCATAACTGCTCTGAGGTTCTATCGGTGGAAGAGAGAGAATTCCAGATCCAATTTCATATCCATCACCCTGGGTGGCCCAGCTAAACTCTAAACCTTGTGTTGTTTGAAAGAAATGGGTGTTGGTTATCTGCAAATTCAAATTTCAGTTAGATACGAAATTGAGATTTTTCAAAGGAAGATATGCAGAACCTGAGTGAAACATGCCAGTACCTTTATTCTGCTTTCCTTTAGAGAAACTTTGATTGGCTGATAAACATGCTTAACTTCTGCAAACAATAACTAACATGATTCATGATTTGAACAAAATTTAAGGTCTAGGTATCATCTTAGAAGATGAAATAAAGTACAAAGATGCTTACTCATTATGAGAAAAATAAATTTACCGTGCAGTGCAGGATGAGGAGTACGATCCGGCCATGTAAGGCCATTCAGACAAAAGTTCAGATCATTAGGTGTATCCCCAAAGTCACCTCCATAAGCCCAGTGTTTAGTACCATCTCCACTGTCCTTCAATAACCCCTACAGGAAAAATGCAAACACTAGATTTGATAAATAAAAAAGATTTGAAAACATTTTTCTCAAAAATAAATATTTTGTGGCAAATATTTATGGTCTTTATCACAAACTAAGGCTTTTAAACGGACAGCACCTTATCAAAAACATGAAAAATGAATTCATATTCTTAAACAACTGCATATTCCATAACAGATACTGTAGTCTTCATCCTATTTTTAAAATTATTCGGCGCATGGTATGGTGGACCAATATTAAGAGAAATAAGATTGTTCTTGCAAGTTGCGGATGATTTTCAAAATAAAAACTAAAGATTTTAGCTAACCTAAGATGGAAAAAAATCAATTTCTCACATGATCTCAATATTGTGAAATATTTCTTAAGGACTAAAAAGGATTTTAAACCTGGTCAACCCAGTCCCAGATAAAGCCTCCTTGTAGACCAAATGTGCTATTGATTGCTTCCCAATACTCATGTATATTCCCATTACTATTCCCCATTGCATGTGAATACCTGACAATTCAATATCACAAGGACACAAGAATAGACAAAATGAAGTCACTACCATGATTAACAGAAGCACTACACAGTATAATTAAGTAATCTAAGAACAGTCAAGGGGTCAATGTAACTCATGTAAAAGAATAGAGGTAACATACTCGCACAATATCAAAGGACGTGATTCAGCAGGATCTTTTGCAATCTTCACTATGTCCCAAACACGCATATACATCGGGCACACAATGTCAGTGGATGTTGTTCTGGATCCCCCTCCTTCATAGTGCACCAGCCGTGAGGTGTCCTTTTCACGAATCCAACCTAATGAAAGAGAATGGTAAGTGAAGTAGAAAACTAATGAGAAAAAAGGAATTGAATAGTACAAGTCATTATTTATGTAAAACTTCAAATCTTCTGACAACACTATGCAACTTATGAGAAATATAAAAACAAATTAACCTAAATGATCTCTTATCCATGTAAATTTTTAATTGCTGAAGACCACCATACTGTTTTTAGTAAAACCATTTCCATGGTTTCAATGTCTTTCCATGTGAATAAATGAGAAGCTTAAGTTACAGCATTTAAAATGTAATGTAAACAGAAAACAACAATTAGTTTCTCTAAATGCTATTAGGTGCCAAGATTTCTTGAATAGTGCACAGACGCTCAAGTCTGACACACACAGAGGGACACGAGTATAATCTGACACTAGATGACCCTATATGATAAATATTGCAATTGCTTAGATTTGTGGACATAGCTAGCACCACTCAAAGATATACATAAAAGAAGTTTTATATGATACCAGCTGCAGCAGAATGATTTGGTCCATATGAGGCCTCGTTTCCTAAGGACCAAGAAATTATGCATGCATGATTTTTGTCCCTCTCGACCATGCTTATCACTCGATCCATCATTGCAGTAGCCCAACTTTGCTCCTGAGTAGGATGCTTCAGATGTTCACAAAGATAAAAACCATGTGTCTCAATGTTGGCTTCA